TTAACTTACTGGCAAGAATATTGTGGGAGACCGTATCAAAAGCCTTGATAAAGTCAAGATATATCACATCCACTAACTTTCTCATGTCCACAGAGCCAGTTACCTCATCATAGAAGCTAATCAGATTGGTCAGGCACGCCTTGCCCTTTGTGAATCCATGCTGACTATTCCTAATCACTTTCCTCTCTTCCAAGTGCCTCAAAATGGATTCTTTAAGCATTCCTTCCATGATTTTCCCAGGAAACGAGGTAAGACTGACCGGCCTATAGTTCCCTGGATCATCCTTCTTCCCTTTTTTAAAGATGGGCTCTACATTTGCCTTTTTCCAATCATCCAGGATTTCTCCCGATCTCCATGACTTTTCAAAGATAATGGCCAAAGGCTCCTCAATGACATTTGCCAATTCCCTCAGTACTCTCAGATGCATTAAGTCCGGACCCATGGATTTGTGTACGTTTAGCTTTTCTAAATAGTTCCTAACCTGTTCTTTACCCACCAAGGGCTGTCCACCTTCATCCCATCTTGCGTCACTTAGTGCAATAGTCCGGGAGCCCACCTTGTCCGTGAATACAGAGACAAAGAAAGCACTGAGTACTTCAGCTTTCCCCACATCATCTGTCACTAGGTTACCTCCTTCATCCAGTAGGGGCCGCACACCCTCTCTGATCACCTTCTTGTTAACATGCCTGTAGAAACCTTTCTTGTTATCCTTCACTTCCTTAGCCAGTCGCAATTCCATTTGCGCTTTCGCCTTTCTGATAACCCCCCGACATTCTCTAGTTATACATTTAAACCCCTCTCTGGTCATTTGTCCAAGTTTCCACTTTTTGTAAGCTTCCTTTTTGTGCTTAAGTTCACCAAGTATTTCCCCTGTAAGCCAATCCGGACTCCTATCATATTTGCCTCTCTTGCTTCGTGTTGGGATGGTTTCCTTCTGTGCCTTCAATAAGACTTCTTTAAAATACTGCCAGCTGTCCTGGACTCCTTTCCCCTTCATGTTAGCATCCCAGGGGAGTCTGCCCATCAGGTCTCTGAGGGAGTCAAAATCTGCTTTTTTGAAGTCCAAGATGTGTATTTTACTACTCTCTTTTCTTCCTTTGGTCAGGATCCTGAAATCTACCATCTCATGATCACTGCTTCCCAGGTTGTCACCCACCTCTACGTCCCCTATTAGTTCCTCCCTGTTTGTGAGGAGAAGGTCAAGCTGTGCACGGCCCCTGGTCGGATCCTTCAGCACTTGTACCAAGAAGTTATCCCCAACATTCTCCAAAAACTGTGTCAAGAAGTTATCCCCAACATTCTCCAAAAGCTTCCTGTATTTCCTGTGTACTGCCGTATTGGTTTCCCAACAGATGTAAGGGTGATTAAAGTCCCCCACAAGAACCAGGGCCTGTGATCTGGAAGCTTCACTCAGTTGTCCAAAGAAAGCCTCATCTACCTCATCCATTTGATTCGGTGGCCTGTAGCAGACACCAACCACAACACCACTGCTGTTGTTTGCTCCTTTAAACTTAACCCATAGACTCTCAACAGGTTTTTCTCCCTCTTTATATTGGAGTTCAGAGCAATCATAGTGCTTGCTTACATACAGTGCAACTCCTCCTCCTTTTCTCTCCTGCCTGTTCTTCCTTAACAGTCTATATCTTTCCATGACAGCGCTCCAGTCATACGAGTCATCCCACGAAGTCTCTGTTATCCCAATTAAATCATATTTCCTGGTCTGAGCCAGGGCCTCCAGTTCTTCCTGTTTGTTGCCCAGGCTTCTCGCATTAGTGTACAAACACCTCAGGTAACCAGTTCATCGCCCTATCTTCTTCATTTGAATCAGTTGTCCTCCTTTCTTGCTCATTCCTCTCTGCATTTCTTCCCGGTGTCCGACTTTCCCACTCCTCTCAGAGTTTTGGTCATCATCCCCCAATGAATCTAGTTTAAAGCCCTCCTCACTAGGTTTGCAAGCCTGCCCGCGAAGATGCTCCTTCCTCTCTTCGTTAGGTGGATCCCATCTCTTCCTAACAATCCTTGTGCCCAGAACAGAGTCCCACATCGAAGAAACCAAAGTCCTCTCTGCGACACCACCTGCGCAACCACGCATTTACGTCCTCAATTCGATGATCCCTGCCCAGTCCTTTCCCTTCAACAGGGAGGATGGACGAGAATACCACTTGCACTCCAAATTCTTGGATCCTTCTTCCCAGCGCTACGTAATCCGCAGTAACCGGCTCAAGGTCATTGTTGGCCATATCGTTAGTTCCCACGTGGAGAAGCAGGAAGGGGTAGCTATCCGAAGGTTTGATCAGTTTGGTAAGCCTCTCAGTGACATCCTGAATGCGAGCTCCCGGTACGCAGCACACCTCTCGAGATTCCAGGTCCGGAAGGCAGATGGATGGCTCAGTCCCTCTTAGGAGGGAGTCCCCAACCAGCACCACCTGTCGTTTTCTTTTGGGGGTGGTTTCCATGGAACCCCCATCCCTAGGACTATGCATCCCATGCCTTGCAGTAGATGGTGTTCCCTTCCGGTTTCTTCCTTGTGAGGTCCCTTCCAAAGCATTCAGCATTCACTGTAGAGCCTACTTACCTCTATAGCATCGGGGGATTCCCATGCTGGCCTTCCCCCCCTTCTAGAAGTTACATGCTGCCAGTTATCTGCCTGGTCACTGGCTCCTCCGTCTGCCGTGCTTGAAGGATTAAACGCTGCCTTCTATCGAGGAAGTCTTCATCCTCTCTAATCGAGTGTAGGGTCGATACTTGGGCCTCCAGTCTTCTAATTTATTCTTCCAAAATGTCGACCAGCTTGCACTTTGTGCAGATGAAATCCGTTCTTTCTTCTGGGAGGAAGACAAACATGGCACATGCTGCGCAGGTAACAACAGCAGACCTATCACCATCCATAGCTGCTGTCCTGGAGAAGGGATTTTAAAAGAAAAGCACGAGACCCTCGCCCCCTTCCCTCTCCCCTTCCAAACTCCCTCTCTAAACTCTCTGTTAGCACTCACCTGTTTGGAAGCTCATTGGTCGCTTACCCACTGCCTTATAAGGCCCTGGAGTGCCTGAAAGTCCCTCCCCCTACTAAGGCTCAGCCAATCAGCAGAGGCTTCTAGAATTCAAACTTTAATTAGAAGCCAACAGCTTTCACCTGCCAATGAAGGGGAGGGGGAGGGCAAAGGGGAAGTAAGGGGGAAAAAATAAGCCTCACTCTCAAACACAGGGGAAAAAACAAACAAAACAAAAAAAGAACATACACCAACCCTCACTCACAACCACAAGCTCAGCATACAGCAAGAATGCCCCAAACACAATACACGCTTCCCTCAAGAGTGCTGTATCTGCTTCTCCTCTACCTGGAGGACTCCCACTCTAAAGCCTCACTCAAAAACACAGAAAGAAAAAAAGAAGTTAGTTATAAAAGATTAGCTAATAGAGTGTACTTTGGAGCAATCTTCTGAAGCCATCTTGCACAATGTTTTTCCTGACATCTTTTCTCTTTGTTAGGTGAGCAGCTGGCCACTGAGAATTTGCTGTTAATTACTCAATACTGTTCCAGAATTTAAGTAAACATCTGGGATATTCTAAACTTACAGTTTATCTCTGTGTGTACTTAAATCTAATAAATTGCACTGTTAAACAAAACCACGCTTACTTGCATTTAATCTCTGATCAGATGGAATTGCTGTGTTCCCATTGAATTATTCTTTACACCACCTGTAATGAAATAATTAAGTTGCCTCTGCTGGGGGTTCTGAAAACCCTGGGTAACACAAGAATGAATATTTTCCCCTCTGTGTTTTTCTAATTGATGCACTCAGGATATGAAAATGTTTAATGTCTGCACGGTCATTACTCACCAAATGACACTCCATAAGTCTCTATCTGTTCTTCATATTTCTTAGCCAAATTATAGATTCTATTTGTATATGTCCTTAAGGCTTCTCCATAATCTTGGCAGTTGAAAGGAATCACCTGGGAATCAGCAAGTTCATACACAAGTCCTCCTCGTAACTGGGCAACAGCAAGCTGTTTCATGAACGTGGGGTCATAAAATCGTTCTACTAACTCAAAGGTCTCATATGTGGTATGGTAAACTGGGTAACTGCTGAACTTGTCTGCTCTCTGAAAGAGAATAAACAATTGTTCTAAATAAAGCCAATTTGAGGAATGAAATTGGTCAGACAATGGCCAACATAGATTGCTACAACTTTCACATCATGACAGCTCTTTTCCAGACACAGACGAATTCTCCTATCAGGCAAAAAGCAATCAGATTTTGTGACGTACTATGGAGGAACAAAAGTTGCATAGCAATTTTTACATTCTGTCTGTAGCGGCCAGAAAGAGGCCCCATCCTGAGCTCCAATACCACTGACTCATTGCCAAAAAAGTTAAACAATCTGGTAGCACGCATGCAGCACACGAGTCCCACTGGATCTTGTGCTATACAGCCACCTCCTACACCTCTTCCCTCATTTCCTCCTCATCTTGCCACAGACTATAATCTTCCCATTGTCTATTCTTATCCAGAAGCTGATTCTACCTACACTTCATTGAGGTCCCTCTTTGTGTAAATATAGGTTTTAGAATACACACATCACCAGCATGCGTGATGTATTCCTTCAGGTTTTGTTGTTTCACAAATTCCAAAATTGCATTTCTGTGCACACAGGAATAACACTTTGTAAAATTACTGTTGAACATGCCAGCTGTAGAGTAACTGTTCTCAAATAAAGTCAGACCTTGGTATCAACTGCTTTCAGGAACACTGGATGGCTTACCCTATTCTTGGTATAACGGACTCTGGCTGATGTGATTCCCAGCCGCTGAAAATAAGCTTCAAAATCACTGCCTGATCCCAGTTTGTTTATTCTACAAGCAGGAAAGAAAAAAATATCAAAATGAGGCTACAGTTAGACCCGGTATGAATGCTTACATAAGGAGTTGCTAGCAGTGTTTCCAAAGTTTTGTGAGCAAGACTTTTGATAAGTAAGGGTATGTCTACACTACAGCGCTAATTCGAACTAACTTAGTTCGAATTAGTTAATTCGAACTAAGCTAATTCGAACTATCACATCCAGACTAAAAAACTAGTTCGAATTAGCGTTTTGCTAATTCGAACTAGCGTGTCCACACAGAGTGGACCCTGAACCAGGGTTAAGGATGGCCGGAAGCAGTGCCGGCAGGGCATCAGATGAGGACTTAGGGCGTGGAGATGCTGTCTCAGGCTAGCCGAGGGCTCTGCTTAAAGGGACCCGACCACCACCCCGGACAGACAGTTCTCAGGGGTGCCCCGCTTGCAAAGCAGTCCTGGCTTGGATTGCCCGGAGTACCCACACTGGGCACATCACAGCACTCGGCAATCAGCCCGGCTGCACTTGCCGCAGGCTGACATCTGAGGAGAGGGAGCAACTGGGGGGCTGCAGGAGAGGTTCCACCCCCAGAAACCCGCAGAGCCAGCCCAGTCCTCCCCATCGGGGGCTCGTACCCCATTCCTCCCTCACCTCCTTCCACTAACCCCTCCCTAGTCCCCCTTCCTGATGTACAAAATAAAGGACAATTGTGTTCAAAACTAGAATCTGTCTTTATTGAACAAAACTGGGGGAGACTGGGAAAAGGAGGTGGGAGAGGGGAAGAGAGAGGCTGGGAGAGGGGAGAGCAACTAAAATGATCAGGGGTTGGGAACAGGTCCCATATGAAGACAGGCTAAAGAGACTGGGACTTTTCAGCTTAGAAAAGAGGAGATGGAGGGGAATATGATAGAGGTCTATAAAAGCATGAGTGGGGTGGAGAGGGTGCATTCAGAAAAGTTCTTCATTAGTTCCCATAGTAGAAGGACTAGAGGACACCAAAGGAAAGGAATGGGTAGCAGGCTTCAAACAAATAACAGAAAGTTGTTCTTCACAAAGCAAATAGTCAACCTGTGGAACTCCTTG